AATAAATACAATACTCTCTTAACATCTTTCTTTACAGATTGTGACGTAAATTGTCACAAAAAATGTGAGAAGCTCGCAGCAAATTTGTGTGGTGTAAATCAGAAATTAATTGTAGAAGCAATTGCAACAGTGCGACGAGAAAATCAAGGTGTTATTTTCAGTCTTGCACTTTCTTATTCTTTATTTTTTTTTCGTTGCTATTCTTTGAGTCATTGAAATTTAATTATCTTCTACTCACAAATCATCTGCCTCTCACTCTCATAGATCAACAAGCAAGAATGAGATAAAAAGATGACAAAAATAAATAAAAATGACAGTCCGGAAAGATTTTTACGACATATTTTTTTGTATTCTTAAAATGATACAGAAACACAGAAATAAAATTTTGATTTGTGAAGGCGTTCTTCAAAAAACAAACGTGATTTGTATAACAATAGGTAGCTGTTGTACACTTTGACTTCACGACTGAACTTGTTATAAAATTTAGATTGTTGTAAAAACCTATGACTAGCTTTTAGTCTTTGATGTGTGATGGATTTTTCTTAGAAATTCATGCAGTTTAATTATTCAAGTGACATTCCAACGGAATTGTTGGTTTGTTGGCATATGAAATTAGGAAGGACAGTAAGAATGCAATTTAATGGTGTTGCTACCAAAGTTTCTGATCAACTTTTTGCATGAAATGTGTCACTTGGGTTTGTAAGTTGCTTACATAATTTGTTGGCTGTTTGGTCAACTATGATCCATTCCGTTGTGTCCTATATCTGGTTATAACTCTAACTCAATCACATACAGTACATTAAAAGGTAATCAACTTAGTAAATAAGATCAAAATCAATAAATTCCTTCAGTCTATCTAACAGCACTCCCAAAAAAGCGCCTCACTTTCTCAAAATAGTAAAATTCCTACTTTCCGAACGACTTTCAATCATTTTGTTCACTGAATTGTCAATCAAAACAGCTTCAAAAATGTATCGCGTAAAGCAATCGGATGCCACACATCAATTTTAATTTTTTTTTACTCTTCTCTTGATTTACGGAAGCTTATAAAACTCAACTCAAGATTTGCATAAATTCAAAAGAAGCTACAAATAAAAATTTGCCTGCTGATTTCCTCCAAGTGTCATTACTGTTTGCTTCTAATCTCGACAACAGTAGACAGTTATCATTTGTCAAGTTGGATGTTTGCAAAACTATTTATGGATTATTTTATTTTGGTCACGCAATTAAGCACATTCCATAAATAACTTTTTCACTTAACGCTCTTTTTGGGATATCGTGAGAGGCTCATTAAGGCGTTCAGTAGGACAATAGATCGGACCATGTATGAAGAATGAAACAGCAATAATAAAATTTTGTATTGATGAATGCATTGGAAATTGAATAAAAATTATGCTGATTTTTTTTAATGCTTCCAACAAATTAAATGATTATAAATTTATGATAAATTGCTTAAAGCACAACAGTGCAACAATTACCCAATGTCATTGCCAATTACGTAGCAATATTTCTTTCGAAATGTTAAGCTTGTGCCAGTTTTGCATAATCCACTCGAGTGGAAGTTTATGGAAGCATTCAAAACTATCAATTAATCTATTTATCTTTAGTTTCTTTCAAATTGCAAGGTCAGCGTCAAATCTCTCACATAAACTGCTCATCAAATGGCTTAATTAAATTTTTATGTCTATACTATTGTTGCAAAACTATCAATTTACATTTAAAACAATATTTACTCAGTCATTATGCAGGCGTGACGAATTTTTTTGCTTTTTTTGTGTGACTTTATCGAAAGGGGAAGTGCAACTTGACACAAATTTTCGAAACTTCCGAAATTCAAACTTCATTTGAAGACTTGATGAATTCATCTAATTCAGCTGATGCTGCTGAATTCAACCAATTCAGCTGCAGTTACTGAATTCATCCAATTGAGTTGAATCTGATTAATTCATCAAATTCAGCTAAAGCTGCTGAATTCGTCCAATTAAGCTAAAGTTGCTGAATTCATACAATTCAGCTAAAGTTGCTGAATTCATACAATTCAGTTAAATTTGCCAAACTTCATATGATACCTATTAATTTGAGTTTCCATCCCCCTAGTTTCAAACCCATTCCAATTAATAGCTTCCAAAAATTTTCTCAGTTCATCACCAGCAATTAATCTTTCACTTATTAAATTAACACAATTGTCATAGGCTGCGTGCTGTTTGGCGTTGATGTGAAAATGAAGACGAAAAATTAAATTTACGATGGGAAAGTGCCATAACATGCACTATGATTTGCTGTTTCGCTTTCTTGATGTATTTGTAGATCAAAAGACTTTTTCAATGGGCCAAGTTCAGTTACCGCATTCAAAAGCTATAAAGAAACATGAAAAGACAAAAATGTAAATTTTTATACATTCAAGATGCGTTGGAATTAGTAATTAAGTGTAAAAACATCGTCTACATGAAAATGCTTTAAAGTCTGCTCGTCGGCAAACATTTTGCTTTTGTCTCAGATCCATCTGTCACAATGAAAATGTATCTTTACGAGACCATTCATTATGTGACGAAGACAAATTTACATTTTACGTTGTAGACATTAAAAATGCAGATTATGACAATAGTAACTGTTTGGTATATTAATTAATATGGACGATGAGTCTGATTCAATGTGCTTTTAATTATAAATGTGACAGATTCTTCATCAGAATCAACATGATGAAATGTGCTTATTTTCTCATTAAATTAATGATAGATTCTATTTAATGGAAGCGAAAATTGATTGCAAGTCATTTGATATAATGGGACTTCTTGTCATTGGAGGGGAAAATCTTGTCTATTTTGGGAGATTTTGAAATATTGGCAGCTGAGGAATGAAATTATGGAAGGAATATGCAATTTCTAATTCACAGTTTGATGTAAAAATTAGTTGTCATCAGCTTATTTTTATAAATTCGGACAATTCAGCTAGTTTTGCTGAATTCAGGCAATTCAGCTAAAAAATTGAATTGAGTCAATTCAGCTAATATTGCTGAATTCAGTCAAATTAGAGAGTTTTTGAGTTTATCTAATTACTTTCAACAAATCTTGCCAAGCATATTAATAGAGCTTCTGAATGCTAATTCACTAAAAATCAACAAAATCTAATAAATTCAACAGAGCGGATACAAGATTTGGCAAACGTTAATTTCTCATGAATAGTTTTGCATGGAAATAATTATGAAGCATTTCATATTTTTCTGCATTTTACAAAATAGCATTTAATGTAAACTACCTGAACAGATAAAAATCTACAGATCGTTAGTTTGATAAATTTACACAAGTCAAATCCCATGACATGAATAAATTATTCATAAAGACATAAATACAATTTATAATTTCCCATCCCCTGTAAAGTCGTCAAGGAGTTGTTATAATAATCAATAGCAGACACTTATCTCCCTTTCATAAATTCTCAAGACAATATCCATAAAGGAAGTCGACACTAATCTACATCAAGTAGATCTTCTCATTCATCAGACATTCTCACCTGCAATATAGATTCGCTGTATTGTAGGAGCTTATTATGAAATATTGAGTACATTCATCACAAAAATTTTGCAACATACTGTTTATTTTAACACAATCTTAACATCAGCTGCGACTTACTGTGTAAATAGGCATTCTCTGAGATAAATAAAGTGCATAAAGAGGCAATTAAAAAAAATTTGTAAGCGAATGAGAAGAAGGTAATTAAATTTCAAAGTTGAATGACTTAATTAACATCGTCCGTGTGCAACGGAATAGACAATAAATAATAAAAAAAAAGTTCATAATAGAAGACTTCAAAAAACACTCTTTGCATGTGCCATATTATATTATTTACAGAAAGACTTGAGGCTGATGCATCGAGAAATAGTCGAGAGTCGCTGACACCACCATGCTTAAAGCCGACATACCAGATCGACATGAATCATGATGAGGACTCAGGTACTGATTTTTTCAACAACAAAATAAAAGAGATGCTCGTCACTCATGAATCTCAGCTAGAGATGCTATGAAATTTATTGGCTTCATTAGTTATAAGTGCCAGCCAAAAATATAAATATTATTACGAGCACAAGAGACAAATTAAGGCGTTTAAAAGACAATAATTCAAAGTGGAAGGTGTTAATAAAACTCATGCATGTCAAATTTGTTTTTTGAATCTTGTTACATCTATAAAATAAGATGAAAATTTGAAATTTATAGATCGAAAGATCGATGTTAATTATTTGTTAAAAATGAATTTTTTTTTCACAAAATCTTGAATAATTTCAACAGTTATTTAAAATTTAAAGTTCAACTGTTTCTGAAAATTCAAAATTTAACGGTTCTTTAACTAACGGTCTTTTAAAATTCGAAAATTTCTCAAGTTTGAATTTGACTTTTTTACTGCCGTTATTCAACATTTTGAATTGAAAGTAAGTTTTCACCAATTCTCACAACTCTGAGTGTGAAAATACCAAAAAAGAAATCCCATAAACAGCCACAAATCTATTAAGATAATCTCCAACCTTCCAAAACATCAAGCAATTAAGTAAATCAGACAATTAAAAAATTCAACAAAACCAACACTTGCAAAATTCCGCAAATTTAATTTATGATGAGGAAAAAATGACGAAAGACTCTCTTCATCCATCCCGCGGTGGATATTTATCCTTGAGAAAAAAATCTTATTACGACTTGTAAATAGATTTCAATTTTTCATCTTCTAAAATGACAAATTAATTTTAATTAAATTAATTATCTCAGGACAAAAATGGCATATCTTAATTAAGCAAAGGATTAATCGTCATCATGACCTGAAATCGTCACAAAAAAAACAAAAAACGTGTCTAAAATTGAACAAGTCAACTGCTCATAAGTTGCTAATTAATTTTCATAAAAAGAGATATTTTATAAACAATATTTAGCAGCTTAATGATGACAATTATCACCTCTTTTTCATCTTTAAATAATCTGATTAATAACATGATATTTTTTTTTAAATCTCAACAGAGACATCGTACACGTATACACAATTCCAGAAGACTGGAAAGATGACGGCACCTGCAACAGTTATTCCACGTTTTAGAAAATATAGTGTAGAAGATTTTCATTTTTTGACTGTTCTTGGAAAGGGCAGTTTTGGAAAAGTAAGCATGTAGCTTTGGGGTCATTCCATAATATCTATTAAATGGATCTCATGAAGATCTATGGCTAAAAGGAAGCAATGAGGAAGATGACGAACTCAAATCTACCTCATCAACTTCGTTCCTTCCCGAAAAGCTAACCAAGACGTAGCCTGAAAGGATACAAAGAGCTTCCAAGCTAGTGATTTTCAAACTATTTAAAAACTCGACACACTTAACCAACAACTCAAAGTTGTCAGATTTCCAATGACATGTCTACGAAGTTGTGTGTCGCACAGCATAGTTTGAAAAGCGCTGTTCTAAGCAAAGTAACTTAACATCCTTATTCTATCTCATTTTATGCAGGTATTTTTAGCAGAATTGAAAAACACAAGTTATTATTATGCAGTAAAATGTTTAAAGAAAGATGTTGTATTGGAAGATGACGATGTTGAGTGTACCTTAATAGAGAGAAAAGTATTGGCATTGGGCACGAGACATCCGTATCTTTGTCATTTGTTTTGTACATTTCAAACTGATGTAAGTTGTCAACGACTATGTTGAAAGTTTTTACTAAGTTTATTTAAAATCCCTTAATGCATTTTGATGAAAAGTAGACTACATGATGATGATGGTGATGAGTGGATTTATTTACAATGTTGTGGGACTTAAAGAATGTTGTGTGGTATTGCTTTTCAAGAGATGAACTTTTAAGTATTTACTGCTGTTCTCGATAGTTTTTAATGTTTGTAAACTCTAATGTAAACAAGATTTAGTTTATAGTTTAGATCTTCTGTATAAATCGCACTTTTAAACTTAATTCAGCTCTTTTGTGTCTAATTCAGTATTTTCGAATCCAATTCAGCACTTTTTGAACTAATTCGGCACTTTTTGAATTAATTCAGCACTTTTTGAATTAATTCAGCACTTTTTGAACTAATTCAGCACTTTTGAAGTCAATTTAGCACTTTTTGAACATAATTCAGCTCTTCTTAAGTCTAATTCAGCACTTTCGAATATAATCATCGCCGTAACAACAAATGAAGCATAAAAAAGCCTAATAAGTTTAGAATATTCAAGTTTAATAACCTTACAAATGAAATTAATAGAAAAACTCATCAACTTTTTCTTTTATCGAGCATTAATCTCCTGCCATTAATCAACCTCATTACATTACATAACTTTTTCGTTCCGAAACTTTTTTCAGTAATTAAACATCTAAAAACTTTTACTCAACAACCATCCATGATGCTGAAATATTAATGAAAAATACAATCAACTCTCGAGACCTTTATCAATCAAAATTCTGACAGTGATGAAAATGAAAACCGAACAAAAAATGTTGATTAAAAAAATTATGCTTTTTGGTATCAGATTTTTAATGAGTTTTGAAGTGACTTGTGGAAGTTTAAGGCTCATTTAACAATTTCAATGGAAAAGACTTGAAAGATTTTAAAGCAAAAATGTTTGAATAAACAATGATAAATAAGTGGAAGGAAAGTTTTTTTGGGGTTTAAAAAGGAAAAACGCAAAATTATCCTTCCGAGAGTCGCAAAATTCTGTAGAAATGGGAATGAAAATTTTAATATTAAACAAGTTCACAATTCTGAAATAGTTTCAATGTAAATAGACAATTTTAGGAATTAAAATGAGATCTGGGGTTGCTCAAAAATTAAGTAAAGCTTTAAGTTGACATTCTCCACCGACAATTCAATTTTATAAAGTTCAATGAAAGCCATGAGCTACGTTGTCCCTAAACAACCTCAAAAAAGGCTCATTTGATATCAAAAACAGAGAAAGTTCACCTCATCAAGGTCATTTCTTGATATTTGCTCTTGTTTTGCAAAACATCAGTAAATCAAAAATTTCAGCAACTTGTAAATCCACAAACTCGTGTTTCACCAGCAATAATATTAAATTTATGATGTTTGCTTCTATCAAATATCTCTAAATGATATAGTTACGAGCTGTTGAAACAAAGCAACGACAATAAATTATACAGAACGGAAAAAAAGAATTCATTTTTAAATTTTGGATTGGATGTGGTTGTAAAAAATAGAATTTTGACATGTTTTGGCAATTTTTAGAGAAGAAGCAGCTTATCTTAGACTTTGAGCCATATGTAGACGAAGTTTCTCATGTGACAGTAAGACGTCTATGGCTGAATGATTAAGGAACAAACCTTCTCTATTTGTGAGGACGTGATCTCGAATCCCATCAGAAGTTGATTCCATTGCGTGAATCAAGTCGAAATGACAAAGATTCACTAAAGTCAATAATTCTATAAACTAAACATTGTCATGACAAGCGAACAGTCACACAAAATTCATATAAACCTCATCTTAGAAGATCACGCAGAAAAAATAGCCTCAAACACAATTAAAAGTCATGAGAATCCAAACGTATACATCTGATGAGTATAGAATAATAATCACATGACAATGTTTATCTATCCGTAATGCGATCGTGAGTTCAATCGTATTCACGAAAGCCAGAAATCACTGAAAAGAGAGCCAACAAAAAAATTAAGTTCAATGTCTATTTTTAAAAAATTTTCTTCAATCCCAGAAAGAAATTTTCATTTTCCTGATTCATTTCACCTTTACTTACGTGTAAGGCAGGCATGAAGATGTGAATAAGACGGAAAAATTCGAAGGTGTAAAAAGAATTTCTTTTGTTTTATGAGAAACTCGTGTGTTATTTTTGATGAAGAGAATTCACTTAATTATCTCACGTAATTTACATCCGATTACTCAATTAGTCATTTCGGACTGAAGTTTTAAGACACAATTTATCTATCCGCACGTGGATTCACTTCCATAAAAACTAACGTTTTTGAATGTAAACTAAACCAATTTAATCAGCCTACAGGATTTTTTTTTCATTCAAGCTCAACTGACCTTGAACTTGAAAATGTAAAGCTATTGAAATTACAACAATCACCATCATCATCATTATCGATGCCAAATCCCTTGAAATCTTGATTTAATTAAATACTTAAAACTTTTACATTGACAAATTGCAGAGTCATTTATTTTTTGTGATGGAGTATCTTACGGGAGGTGATCTAATGTTTCACATACAGCAAAGCGGACGATTTACAGAGAAAAGGGCGAGATTTTATGCCGCTGAAATTGTTTCTGGCTTGAAATTTCTGCACCGAAAAGGAATTATTTATCGGTAAGATTAAATAAAGTTTTATCATAATATTTAAGGTATTTAATTAATTTATCACGTTTATGAGGGATTTGAATAAATTTATCTGGTTTTATTTATGAAGATGATTAATCATGAAAATTTTTTGAATAAAAATGTGGAAATAAATTTATTCTGGTAATCTCAAATGACAAAATGTTAAGAAAGTGCTATTAATTTGACTTTTTTGCTACCGTAAATAGTCAAAATCTTACAATTCTTAACGGTTTTTCAAAATTTAAATTTTAACGGTTTTCTAAAATACAAATTTAAACTGCTTTAAAATTTCACATTTTTAACAGTTTTAATCTAATATCAATGCAACAGAAGCCTAAATCAAAAACTGTCCAACAGAAGCTGTCTTGAAAATTCTTCAAAATCACTCCTTAATAAATTAATTTGAATTTAATAATCTTTGAAACATTCTTCAACTCAGCCAGTCAAGTTGAATAATTTAAATGATCAAGTTGACTACTTGAGGACTTTTTATAGGAATGAATAATAACCCGTAAATATTCTCTCAAGTGTTCTTTAGTCAAGATACGTTCTCAATTTCGAATGATATCATGAATTTGTCTTGATTTGCCATTCTTGAACTTCTTTATTTATTTACCAGCTTAAAAAATAAATAAAGCCAAACATTTATCTCATTTATACAATGAATTGGATTTCTTTAGAATATCGTTTCAATAATTAAGATTAATTCCTTAAGATAGTCATTTTAAGCAAATTCTTTAATGTGATTAATGACAGAGTTGGACATTTAATTTTAAGAAATTTCAAAACTTAACGGTTTTTTGTTTTTTGAATTTTTATCCGTATTATAATTTTTGAATAATGTTTCTTTTACAAATTCAAATTTTAACGAATTTAAGAATCTTGAAGCTCCAATTCACAAAAACTAAGTTCCATTCATGCATTGACACTATTGATTTATTTCTATTTTATTATGCTTCTAAAATTTGCAGCGATCTGAAACTTGACAATGTTCTATTAGATCATGATGGACATGTGAGACTAGCCGATTTTGGAATGTGTAAACTTGAGATTTATTTGGATAAGACTGCAGGTATTACTCAATATTTATTCAAATAAACTTGTGGATTTTTTGTGTTTATTTAAAATTTCAATTAAATTCCTTTCATTTCAATTTTTTTTTTTTTCATGTGAATGGAACAGATTCATTTTGCGGAACCCCAGGTACATAAAAATATTATTCACACTTTTGAAGGTCTGTTAATTTAAATTATTAATTATTTGTACAGATTACATGCCACCCGAGATCATCAAAGTAAGTTAAAGAAGTCTTGTAGATGTAGCCCATCCTTATTTGTGTCAATTTCCTCAAATTATTCAGGGAGAAATTTTTCAAAATAATTTTCAGGGTTTACATTACAATCAATCCGTTGATTATTGGAGCTTTGGTGTGCTGCTTTACGAGATGCTCATCGGACAAAGTCCATTTAGTGGTTGTGATGAGGACGAATTATTTTGGTCAATTTGTAATGAGATTCCGTGGTATCCACATTTTCTGTCTAAAGAGTCGCTGAAAATTCTTCAGTCATTACTAGAAAAGGATGTTAGTATACGATTAGGATCGATGGGTGCACCAGACGGTGACATTAAGTATCATCCATTCTTTGCTGAAATCAGTTGGGAGAAGTTGGATAGGAGGGAACTGGAACCGCCGTTCAAACCGCAAGTTGTAAGTTTTTTTTGAATTTTATTGAAGTTTACTGAATTTTACTGAACTAGTTGAATAGAGCTGAACTAGCTGAATAGAGCTAAACTAGCTGAATTGAGCTGAACAAGCTGAATTGAGTTTAATACAGCTGAACAAGCGGAACAAATCTTAACTTGCTGAATTGAGCTAAATTAGCTGAAATGTGCTGAGTAGTCTGAATTGAGCTGAACAAAATTAATTGAATTTAAAGCTGAATTCAGCTTAATTAAGATTTGTTAAAGAAAATAATTATTTCAATGATTTATGCACTTCTTATTAGTTATTCAAAGCATGTAATGACTCTCAATTTATCTTGTATTTTTTTCAGCGGCATCCACTCGACACACAGTACTTTGACAGTCAATTTACTAGAGAACGTGCTAGACTAACGCCTATCGACAAAAACATACTCATTAGCATGGATCAGAAGCAGTTTGAAGGCTTCAGTTACACAAATCCAAACGCAACTTTAACGTGAATATCCAACAAATCTTCTCTACTCTGTGTCTCTTTTGTGTATGTTTAACGTATATAAATTTAATAATTGCCAAAACCAAAAAAATTCTAAAGAATATTTTTTCTGTGAAAAAATTTTTTAATCATAAATTTTTATCTTTCTCTTTTCCATCGTCATCATTTATGTTCCACCAGTCTAAAGTTCAGTCGAATGTTCTTTACGTGTATCACATAAATTTTATTTTTATTTTATTTTATTCTTTAATTTTATCGTTTCTGTTCCTTGTGAAAGTTCAAATCATTCTCGTAAAGCTTAGATCCTTTATGAGACTATTGAACTTTTATTTTATGTGGATATCAATACGTTTATATATTCTGAAAATTTACTTGTTGAGAGGCAACTCTAGAATATTGTGTATGAGATGATATTGGAGAGGAATTTCCAATTCAATTTATTATCACTGCTAGAAGTTGTTGCTTCTTTTGTAAAATTTTAGAGTAAGGCTGTTAATTTGTGAAGAAAAGCAAGACATGATTGTTGGATTAGATCAAGAGTATAGCCAAATAGTGCAGCATCAAAATAGTGATCATAGCTTCGAGACTTGCTAGCTGATTGTATTTTAAACAATTAGTTTAGAATCCACGAAGAACTACGATTTAAGGTGAGCTATCAGGCGAACTCTTATTCGTTAAACTATCATCAGCCATGGATTTATCAAATTTTTGTTAATGGTCTTTTTCGCAACCACATAAAATTAATAAAATCAAAAATAGAATTGACTCGAGTGCTAATTTCTAAACATTGTTAACAACCAACAAATGTCTATGCAATTCAATCCTCAAAATCGTGATATCAATTAGAACATTCGTGGTTACAATTTCCATTATTAAACATCTCACTAATGACCGAATGCATTTAATGAAGCAACAGTTTGCCTACTCATACTGCATTATGAATTATGCCCACATGTTATGAGTAATAAGCTCATATGCATCACTTAATTATCACGATTTTTGGTGACATTGACATTATTAGTTGATGTGAAAATTAATAATATTGGAAATCAATTATCTAGATTTTGTAAGCTGGTTGTTAAAATTTTAATTCCAATGAATTTGTGAATTTATATTACACACACATTTAGTCATTAAACTACGTTAAGCTGTTGCTATGACAATTTTGAATTTTTCTATCAGCAGTTGTTGTGTTGGACTTAATTTGTCATATTATATGTTTTTGAATTTTTTTCAATAAGTAAAGTGATGCCGCAAAATCATTTGAAAGCTTCAAAGTGACGCTTTAAAATTAAGTTCGTTTTATGCAGCAACGCTTGAATATTGAGCAATATCTGTAAAGCAACGCCTCAAAATTAAATCAATTATATAAAGCAACGCTTTAACATTAAGTCAGTGTTTCAAAGCAACCACTTAACATAAAATCAATTCTACAAAGCCATGCTTCAAGAATAAGTCAACGCTTTAAAAATAGAATTCAACTTTGTCATCATGTCTGCATCTCTGTTTAACGTCATTCGACATTTAAACCACAACCAATATACTTAAAACTTTAAGAACTGCATTCTTCAGTTCCAAATTATCTGATCGAAAGAAATATTTTAGAAAATTAGAGTTGTTGATAACAAGTATAATTAATGTCATATCCACTCTCGAGATTAATCTTCATGTCGATGTGAATATTCAAAGTATTTATTATTTGCATTTTTTTCTGTCGAATTGTTTAATTTATTTTAATTTTTTTATTCTTTTTCTTTCTTTTTATTTTCTTTAATTTATTTTTTTCATTCCTAATTTGATTTATGATTTTTTTCGCACGTTATCAAATACATTTCATGCCCTGATACACGCCAACGACACGTTGTGATGAAAACATCAATTAATTGGTGGAATACAAATTTACTTTTGCGACAAATGAATTTAATTAAATTAGAAAATTAAATGAGAAAAAGAAAAAGAAGGAACCGAAGCGTCCGAAATTTTACTTTTGTCCGTGTTGTGGGGAGATGAAGATTACGGAGACTTTATATTGAATCCGGGTTGTGTCTAAATTAGAATTTCATTTCTTTACTAGCTGAAAAATTAATTCAAAACCTTGTAACAGATTTTTTTGATTTAAAAAGTTGTGGTTAAAAAAGTTTAAATCTAAAATTTCCGTTACGTTTTGTATTAAACCACAGGACGCATATCCTTCAAAAAATCTCAAATAACCATAACAGTCACAAAATTATTAATGATAATAATTTAATTATTAAATATCAACCAAAGAAAAAATTGTTTACGGATTTAGAAAATCACAAAAAAAAAACTAAACTGTAAGAATCACAAGCCTCAGACTAAAAACCTAATTAGAAAATGATCGTCGATAAAAAATAATTAATTTTTAAAAATTATTTGATCTTTTGCTGAATTGATAATTTTGCTCTCTTACTGCTTAGTATTTTCTCTTGCTGCATGTGTCAAAACAATCTTTTATTTATATAGCGATTCCAAACATAGATATTGTATTAAATATATTCAGACACACGATTCTTTACCACAAAAAAAAGCAGAAGCAAATTGTCATCAGCGAGGAATTTTTTTGAAAGGAAACTTTTTTGATAAAAATCAAAATTAAAAGGATTAAATAGCAGGCAAGATGAAGATGATCTTTTCGGTTTTGTTTGGATCGAATTTTAATGTTTTATTAATATTGAGAATGCAAGTTTTGGAAATTAAACGCATTCTTATAAAATTCAAATTTTAAAAAATTTAACTGCTGATTTTGATTCAAATTGAGTCTGTAGTCAATGAAAATTCAAATTTTAAAAACACGTTAATATTTCTGTAACTTTTCTACATTCGAAATTCACTAAAACCAACCAAAATGAGTCAAAAGAGCACCTTCACCTCACAAATTGCTAAAAACAAAACAAAAACTTGAATGAGAATCTTTTTCAATTCCATATCTTAATATTAATATTTGTTATTATTATTTTTGGTGGCCTTGTACTCGGGCATTGGATTCGAAAGAAAAAGAAAATATCTAAGAATGTAAAATGTATCTATTTTATATAATTTTATGCTAATAAAATTCAAAATGAGAAAAAAAAGCTTTCAAATTCTTAAAATGTCTGTTTTTGGATCTCGTCTGATAGAATCTATTGATTTATAATAAGCAATATTCAGGTTATAAATGGATCTTTATGCACGTGAAACACAAGGTAAGAATATTTTAAATTAAGAGGATGACTTTCTGATTGATTATAAATTTAATTATTAAAACATTTGATAGAATCTTAAAGCATGCGGAGCACAGCAGTTGGAAGATGAAACCAACGATAAAAAGAATTTATTGATTTTAGCAAAGATTTATGACAATAATAATTCTTAATGTTCGAATTCAACATCTGCAATCAGCTAATTTGATGTCAAGATTAGTTGACAGAGAAGCTTATTGATTATGAAAAGTTGTAGACTGTTGGAACTCCTCTTATGTCCACATAATAGTGATAAACTTACTTTTGTATGAAGTGTCAAAACAGAATTGTGATCTAAAACATCCCAAACCTCTGATATTCATCCTCAAAAGATAAAGTTCCAAAATACTCATAATACTCCAACTAGAAGCCTTTAGGATATATTAAATGCCATCTTTAAATCTAAAACTTCTCAACATTTCCTACACATTTAAATGATTTACTAAGCCATGCCGTAATTGATGTGAGGAGATTTGTGTAGTGCGATAAGTTAACAAGATAATCCCTGATTAAAAATTCTATCCGATCTATATTTTGATGACAAATGAGATGTTTATACATCCAACCTGCTTCAACACAGCTGTTGACAGCTCATTTATGATATTCTTAGTTTTATCAGATGAGACATTCTTATTATAAATCACAGGTATATTTTTTATGATTCTTGAATTTTAGTGAACCTAATAAAGCACGACGAAAGGCAATTAAGCATGTTCAAGCGTATGGCTTATCAAAATCTAATCACAATAAAAAGAACGCGTTCAAAAAATTGTGGATCTGAAAACGTATTCAAATTAAGACTTTAAAAAATAATAGATTTCCATTTTAGAGCAGATGAGATGTTCTGAATCATTCAGTTTTATATTGCTATGCTTAGTGGGTTTTGAAAATGAAATTTTACCTTTAAAATGTTTATTTTCTGCTCCAATTTTTCCTTTCATTTTCATTATTTATTTAAATTGGCACACACGCATTTGAATATTTTAGCATTTAAATTGGCAGTGAATTCTAAAAGCAGCCACGATTTTGTAATGAAATAATTTATTCTGGATTATATAAAGGGATTAATGATCACGCGATATCAAAAATGAGTAAGAATTTATCTCTTGTGGTCATTAATTTGCGGCAGTTCTTGCTGAAAGCATTGAAATTTCTTATTTTTTTTGGGTTATTTTTATTACTTAACGACATTTTGGACATGTTAAGTAAGTTGTTTATAAGTGGATTAAATTAATCTTAGAAGGATTTTAAAGATTTTTTAAACATCCGGTTCGAGAAATTTTAATTTTGTTCATTGAGTATGTTTTTTCGGTTTTTTAATGATTCTCTGAGTTCCACTAAGATTCATAAAATTCCTAAAATCGAGTTCAACAAACTTCTAGTTTCAAATTTTAAATCACTCAAACTTACATCCTTGAAAAAGAATCATTAAAAAATTATTCTCCAGAATTGATCCAAAATTATATAAAATCGCAAATACATATTAGCGTCATCCGGCACGAGAGCCATAAATTCCCGACAAATTGAAATTTTTTTTGTGAGGTAAAGAAGCTTTTTTCGTAAATAAATATGCATCAGATTAAAATCTTTATATTCTCATTAGAAATCTTCACTGTCGCATGAAGAACCAGTTCCTAAAACGTTCGATATTTTTCAATAGAATGTGCAAAAAACGTGATTTCAGCAGACAAGTGGACTTTTTAATCTTCAAAAAAAAAAGATTTAGGTGCCAATGACTTTTGAAAGACAATTAAATGCTAAAATATTCCATTTCAGAACAGCACAGTATCGGTCACAAAAAAGAGAACTTTCATTTTCATATCGGATTGAGAATTAATGAGCCTGAATTCTGAAATAGACATGCTAAGAGAAAAAGACGTTAGACTGCTAGTTAATAAATTTTCATTTTATGATGCAGAAAGCTGTAAAGGCGTTTATGAAAATAAATTAAAAAACTAGTTTTTTGAGATTCATTTTCTTAACTTCCGAAAATAGTCATATGCTTTATTGAAGCCAAATTCTTAGATTTTTTCGCATATCATCTTGTGTGAATGTCTTTTCATGAAATTATATTTGGATACAATTGAGTTTTTACAAGGGAATCGGAATGAAGGGATATTATGGAGGAAATTTCTTTAAAACTACTTATTGTCTTATTTTCTGTAGAAGAATGGAATGGCAGGCTTTGGATAGTTATAGCCTCCTTCTGTTGGTGGTAAGTATGTATTTGGGGGTGGAGTTGTTGTTGGTGCAACACATCCTGGATTAATGTATGGTCCTGTGCAACAGAATTCATTTGTAGCTCCATTAGTGCAACAGAAAGCTCCACTGCCTCCATTTGCGCAACAATCTGGGTTTGTAGCTCCATTAGCACAACAGAAAGGTCCACTGCCTCCATTTGTGCAACAATCTGGGTTTGTGGCTCCATTAGCACAGCAGAAAGGTCCACTGCCTCCATTTTCACAACAATCAGGATTATTTGCCCCGTTAGCACAACAGAAAGGTCCACTTCCACCATTAGCGCAACAGTCTGGGTTAGTAGCTCCATTAGCACAGCAGAAAGGTCCACTGCCTCCGTTTGTGCAACAATCTGGGTTTGTAGCTCCATTAGCACAACAGAAAGGTCCACTTCCTCCGTTTGTGCAACAATCTGGGTTTGTAGCTCCATTAGCACAGCAAAAAGGTCCACTGCCTCCGTTTGTACAACAATCTGGGTTTGTGGCTCCATTTGTACAGCAGAAAGGTCCACTTCCTCCATTAGCGCAACAGTCTGGGTTTGTGGCTCCATTGGAACAACAGAAAGGTCCACTGCCTCCATTTTCACAACAATCAGGATTATTTGCCCCGTTAGCACAACAGAAAGGTCCACTTCCACCATTAGCGCAACAGTCTGGGTTAGTAGCTCCATTAGCACAGCAGAAAGGTCCACTGCCACCGTTTGTACAACAATCTGGGTTTGTGGCTCCATTTGTACAGCAGAAAGGTCCACTTCCTCCATTAGCGCAACAGTCTGGGTTTGTAGCTCCGTTTGAACAACAGAAAGGTCCACTGCCTCCATTTTCACAGCAATCTGGATTGTTTGCTCCATTAGCACAACAGAAAGGCCCACTTCCTCCATTAGCGCAACAGTCAGGATTTGTAGCTCCATTAGCACAGCAGAAAGGTCCACTGCCTCCATTTGTGCAACAATCTGGGTTTGTAGCTCCATTTGTACAGCAGAAAGGTCCACTTCCTCCATTAGCACAGCAATCTGGGTTTGTTGCTCCATTGGAACAACAGAAGGGTCCACTTCCTCCATTTTCACAGCAATCAGGATTATTAGCTCCATTTGCACAGCAGAAAGGTCCACTTCCACCGGTTGTACAACAATCTGGGTTATTAGCTCCGTTTATACAACAGAAAGTTCCACTTCCACCATTAGGACACTGTTGGAAAGATATGAAATTGTAATATTTAAATTAAATAAATATATTTTTGTTTTATTGATTCAAATTTCATTTTTCAATTGTGTTATGAATAATTATAATTTTACTTTGTAAAGTTTTTTAACTATTAATATTTGATGCATTACAATAAATTTCGAAAAAATGTTCCTTAATAGATGCCCGGTAATAACACCGACGTGGAATAACTTCACAACGCAGCTCCGGAAAAATGTCGAAAATTTAAAATGCATAGAGTGGTAATAAATTCATCTATATAGCCTAAGTGAACTTATTCCAGCGTGGCGCAGGAATAACTTCACCTAGAAAATGAAGGTGAAGTTATTCTTGCACGATGTAGGAATAACTTCACTTATATGTGCCAAGTGAAATTATTACTGCGCTGCGTCGTAATAATTTCACAAATTTTTGAAAATGTTTATTGATTTAAATTTCTTAATGTCTTGTGGCACTGAGTTGAAGAGATTAGGACCTCGTATGTAAAATGTGTGACTACCTTAAGACGGTACTACTAAACATAAGTACTTACAGGTTGGGGTGTTGTGACTGGAGGGAGATAAGTATTTTGAGGAGGTGTTGGAGGTTGAGTAACTGGCGGAAGATACGTTACTGGTCTGAAAAGAAAAAAAATAAAAAAAATTAGATTTTTGTTAAAAAATCAAGTTTTTGTTTTATTCCAACTATAAAATTCCAATCACTAAAGTCATAATTATTAATTGACGGGAGAATCCGGTTGTCTGGATCAAAATTATAATTTATTATTAAGCGGATATTCTCAAATTTAATTGCGCGGGAAGCTAATTAATTTTCAGAAATTGCACTCCCAAAATTGAGCAAATAAATGAAATCCCATTACAGACCACAACCCACATTAATCCATTAAAAGATTTTATTCACGGTATTCAAATGAACATCCATAAATGCATTTACGTTGACAAAAAAAAAATTACACGAATATGGAAAATCACAATAAACTTGATCTTGACATCATAATAAGTTTCTTGCATTACAAGCACCATAAATGATTTCATTCACAATGTGCAACACATTTTTCACAGCAATTTAAAACGCTTGTGGGCATCAGAAAGAATGCATGTAAAATGATTATTGTAAAGAGCAGTAGTTCACCAGCATACAAAATTGTTGTATGTGCTTTCCATTTTAATGCTGTGTATCATACGAGAAAAAAATGGCAACAATTTAATGCAATGTAACATAATACTAGATATTAATTATTCTAGCAGCATATTTTCTTTCAAGATAATCAAGTGTTATTTGCTCAATGTCTTGTCAATTGTATATTGAAAAGGGAGATGATTAATTAATATTATGCAACTGCAGCTTAAACTTGTTTTTATTTAACAACAAAAAATTTAACACGATAAAAAATGTCTGGACATCAGATGCGATAACTTAAATA